TGTTGGAATTTGCTTCGGGCATTTACCCGGTAGTTCAGCGAGTTATTTTTTCTTCTCTTTTCTGATCTATAAAGCGTATTATTTGCGTTATCGGAACGTTTATAATTATTTCATTATTTCAGTAGCAACGCAAAATTTTGTAAATGTCTTCCTGTATAGCAGTTACGGCTAATTCAGTATTGTTCTGTGCATATGCAGTTACCGTTTCATCTGCAAATTGAAACAATGTATACATTACGTATAAATTGAAGAGCAGTGGTCCGAGACCTTGAGGTAGTTGAACTTCAAAGGCTTCGCTGTGTTTAGAGCCTAATCGTACGACTTGATTTCTGTATGTGAGGTAATTCAAAAGCAAGTCATATCTCTTCCCAAGTATCCCAATAGTAACTTCTGTGGTTACCACCTGGCTGAAACGGCCGCCGCCCTGAGCAGCTCAGTCAAGTCACGCTAAAGTTAGGACGAAAGCGCAGCTTCAGATCGCATTTTCTCGCGCCATTCCATTCAGGCCTTTCAGCCCCGGACGAAGCTTGCCTCCTCAACCGCAGCGTGAACATGGAAAGCGAACAGCACGCTCTTTCTCAGATTGCGCCAGGCTCCTATGTGCCCTCTGGAATCACTAGCGGAAGCATACATAGCAAACCCTACTATCGCTCTGTCACGGTCAGAAACAAGCTAAAGGGCGATTTACGCACTTGCGTCGAGTGCGAGGGTTGCTATGGCAACAGCTGCGTCGACTCCAACAAAACGTGGTAAAAATCGGTTTCTTTGGAACCGACGCAGCTGTTGCCGTAGCAACCCTCGCACTCGGTCGAACTCAACGCAGGCGCGACCCTTCGAAGAACAGAAATCGTGCGGACGGGGGCTGCTGATCCAGCGCGAACAAGAGGACGGTATGGCCGAGGGCTCGAGGCTTCGCACCACCGGGACGACGAGCGATGCTGGCCGACGCGTCAAATACTCAGCATCAGCAACTGCGTTCGTTTGACGCTCGGCAGTCCCGAACTGCCCACAAGAAGGCGTTTGCGATCATCAAGTACGGCGGAAGGTTGGCCAGCGAAAGGCTGATTTTGCTTCGTCGGTCTCGTTTACCGAGCCTCAAAGAACTCAGGCGCGAGATTAAGAGAATACTGAGCAGAAGGACAGGTTGGAAGCGCGAAGACGGCCAAGGAACTTCCTTGGGATGCGTCACGAAATGCGCTTGTTTCTTCGGCCGTAAACAGAGCTGCGGACATGAGGCGGCGGCGCCCAGAGATCACGAACTGGACGGCAGCCCGTCTCTGCCGAACATTGCGCCCGACAAAAGCCGGCTGCGCCCACGAATCGTGTCCCGAAGCGGAGAGGGCGGTCGGAGCGCCTTCCCGCTTTGCAGTGGCCGCGGCTGCTTTGTTCGCAGTCCGATGGACACCGTAGACGCACGCCTCCATTGTGTATATGACACTGCTGGAACCGCTTTCCGCGTTTCCCCGATTTCGGCTGTCGCGGTATTAGCCTCATTTGGCGGGCTTAAAGCCCCACTCACGCTCATACACCGTAGAAAAGACACGCCTGCGAAAGTGGTGAGAGAAGGATCAGCGGACATTCGAAGCATATTATATTTGCTTCCAACACGTCTGCAGACAGTTGGGGTATAAACCTGAGGCCGCGGACTGTGTTTTCTATTAGGAATAGGACCGCAGATTTAAGCAAATTAATAAAATTAATGAAGCTGAGGCATCTTGACAATCCAATATAATAGAATTACGCGCATTGCACGACAGAATTGGTGCGAAAATGACACCGGGGCTTCCCCCCGTTGTATCTTCAGATCTACTCCTCAGAGTGTGCGCTCCGTACATTATATCGCGCTATAATATCACTTTTTATGAAAGTCAATCATTCTTGAGCGAAAGATAAAACCGGAGAAACTGTCGTTCGTGCGGTCGCGCTCTCGTCAGCTTGTAGCGAGTTTTATTTCCTAAAACTGGTTTTCGTCGCCGCCACCTCGTACACGCTGTTGGAACTGCAGAGTGCCTTCGGCTGTCAAATTTTCATCGCAGAGGGACAGCCGAAAGGACGAACGCACCACTTCGTTGGCGACGCCAGCTCGAAATGGAATGAGGAATTGCGTTATTCAAACAAGCATCTGATCGCTCCCGATGAACGCAGTGGGTCGTCATTATTTCGCATCATTACAAGCTACGCTGATTTTGGACTGGCTACAAAAGAATCTCCATCGAACACACCTGATTCTATAATCGACGTGTCATTCGAAGGAGACGTACCATAAAAAGAACTTTGCAACGACCGTTTAATTTTTTTGCCCGGGTCAAGTCAAGAAGTCTCTCCTCGAAAGGACCGTCAGCAAAAACCAATGTTGCTATTGTCACGAATGACAAATGATGAGTCGGCGAATAACTATAGAAACTAAACGTTTAATGTGGCAAACTTGTGCCAAAACAAAGTAGGAATGAGTGGCGAATAACAGGCGTCGATGACGGCGCATAAAGCGACATGAGCGACAAAAACTGCCACCGCGCGCCAGTTTGCATAGCAACTTGCGCGGACGCGGTGACGTAACGACTTGGCCTAGGCTCCAAGTCAAAGCGTCCTGGGCTGTTGCTACGAGGATTATCGCGCGGCGCCCGTTTTCTTCGCTCTCGCGTTCCCTGCTTCATGGCAGGATCGAACGCAGGCGAAAGACTGATCCTGCTTTACCACGCGGAGCTCCGTACACGCCTGGGTTTCTGGAACCATCGGCGTAAAAGGTTCGACGCGTAGAACATTCGGACCTCGAGAATAAGCGACATAATTCTCGAATACACCAGAATGCGACATTTAGAGTCATAAGGAAAAGATTCGTCCGCTCCCAGGCATCGAACCTGGGTCCTTGCCGTGGGAGCCAAGCTCGATAAGCTTTCGGCCTCCTTAACTCTCTGCGCGCGCGCAGCACAATTCAGTCCGGTAATGCATTTGGTCCCCTTAATACGGACCAACCAGCGGAGGGCCGATCAAAGTTCTACCGGCTCGCACTCGTATGCGGTTCGTCCGCGTGAAGATGAGAGCAAGTTTAGTAACACCCAAAGTGAATCCAAAGTCTTTGCACAAAATGACAAGGCTGCAAGTACCACGTATCGCAAACCGATGCTTCTGAACAGTATATTGCAGGATGTTTCTTTTGCGCCGAGGCTTCTAAACTAATCTTAGTGACCTTTCTTTATGCGCAACGATTCGTCTCGTCGCAGAGGGGAGCGGGACCCCGCAAGGATTACCGCTGGCTCTCATCTCAATAGAACGAGTCTCGGGCATGAGTCCGTACACGCTGCGGGAAGTTCTAAGACGAGACTGTACGCGATTTCGGAGAACTTCCCAAGCTGGAGAAGGTAGAACAAATTGATGTTCGGGTTCAAGTCAATTTATTCTCGTAACACCGTCAAAGAAAAACAAGTTATGTCTTGGGACTTGAAACCATTTGAAGAGAGATAATAATATCCTACCTGGCCAGGTGAAAAGGGCGGTCCGAACTATACGCCCGACGTTCTTTGGTCCTTTTCCTTGTCAACAACTCGAGCGAGTGAAAAATACCGACACGCCCTAGTGTTTTCCTTTGGAACGGGATTTTCTCGTCGCATACGTGCTTGGAATACGGCGCAAACATGCGACCTCGGTAGCATCGCAAAGTGCAATGTACGTTGCTCGCTGACGATGTTTTTCTTAGCTCGTGCTTTTACGTATTTTCCCGCCTCTCTCACTTTCTCGCAATAAAGTAGCGCGGGTGTAATTTTTTTACCGCGTATCAATATCTAAAGATAGAACGGCAAATCGCTCTCTTATCGAGTTGCGTCAAACCCTGCTCGAGAGTTTCCAGGTGGGACGTGGGAAAAAAAAGTAAGATATAGTTCTGGGGTGTACAGACGCCATTGGCTGTTCGAATAGAACGCAGACGGCCGGCAACCGAGGGCCTCCTCGCACACGGCACGTCCCGAGCCGAGCCAAAGCCACGGCGTCGCGTATGCGGGAAAGCTGTGCTCGTGCAAAGAGCTTCGAACGCCGCTCTTCGTCCTTCCACGTCGAACAATTTTATGTTTTGGGTGCTTCGTGTCGAGTGACAGGAGAACATCGGCCGCGAGGCACGAAGGAGACTCGTCAAGTTTTTGCCGGAGCGAGCTCCATGTCCGAGGGCGTCAGAAAGCGCGTTGGGTGACGGCCGTATATTAAATATAAGCAATTGCTTATACTGCGTGCGTCTCGTCTCCCCCGAGCGAAGGGTGACGGACGTTTTGCTCAAACGCAGGGAAAGCCAAATGCGAATGCAATCAGCGTCGTTCCCGTCTTCAACGGCAATTAGATTTTGTTACAAACGCGCTTCCTTCGGTAGATCAGACCAAACTCTAACGTCGAACCGGTTTCCTATCGCTGACAGCAGGATGTGACGATGCAACCGTACAATACAAAGCGCAACGCACGCTAAATAAGCGCATGGTCGCTGAGGGCGCTTTCCGTCGTGCTCTATGAGTGTGACAGGTAAGACCAAGGGCCCTCTTTCACCGGTTCGCGGAGCGAAGTTACAGTGGGCGACACGGTTAGAGCGAATATGGTGTTTTTCCACTAGAGGATCGACCGAGCTACACCTGTCCAGGTGGGTGCGCCGCGATCCTCGCCGCACAAGCAGTTCTGACGGCAACCTTTCGTTCGGAGAGAGGCCGAGGATCTCGCGTTCGGCTAAACATGTCGCGCTCTGTGCATGCTGGGGGCCGTAAGGGTTCCACCAAAGATCTGCGGCCCGAATCCGCACTAGGGAGCTCGATGGTGTCATCGGCACCGCATTAGACCGCCAAGAGCCAGAAAGAACGGCGTCCAAAATGCCATTGGGTACCTCGGCCGGATCCACCATTACGCGTAGTGCTTCGGACTGTTTCGGAAGATTGCGTGTCGTGCGTTTCCCGCCCGAGAGGCAAGCGCGGTCTCTCGGGCGCTCGCCGGCGTAGGCAAGAGACGGGTTCCAAGGGAGCAAGGGTTCGTACCTGGTGCTTGAGGGCGCAGCCGAGGTTATCCTCATAGCAGAAACGTTCGTGCGGGGGCGCCAGCCATGCGGGCAGGTTGCTGCGAGCGAGCGACGACGGCGCGCTCCCGCCGCCGCCCACGGAACACGCCGTGCTCGCGAATCGGACTGGCACGCCCTCACGCACCAAACCCAACACCGCACCACGGACGAGCCTTCGAAGAGCACGGAGGGACGCTCGGTTCGGACGGGACGGCACGGACACTCGGGCAACGGGTCACCACGGGCACGACGCCAGGACAAACCTCCGAAGAGCACTCGCACGGGCCGCATGCAGGCCTCCTCGTCTCACAGCGTCGGCGCCCGCACTGAGGCTGCGCCCGCCGCCGACCCTCCAAGTCCGGCCTTCCGAGCGAGCACGTCACGGAACGGGGCGGGCCGCCGGGTGCTGCCCGCCCCCGTGCCGCTCGCAGCCCGCCAGCGGCGAAAGAAAACAGCGTGCAAAACGAAGCGTGCGTCGAGCGCGGATTCGTCCCTTGGCTGCGAGCTTCCGACCACTCGGAAACCCGTTGACGTCCAGGTGTTCCCATTGGCCGCGGGCCTTTAACAAAAGCGGGAGGGCGAGGGTTTGATTGACGGATGCCGGAGGAAGAGACGACTCGTTCTGTTCCTCGAGTGCGAGGGAAGCCTTTTTGATGGCGCTCGAGAGCCGGCCGCCAAATGAATTGGGCTCGCGGCTGTCAGACAAATGGACGGGGCCCTTTGTGGGCCGCTGCTGCCTGTCAGCCATCTTCGGAGGGGGCACTCGCGGCATTCGCGCCCCACAGAATGCCGTCGACGGAGCAGTCACAACATTCGCTGACAAAGATGGCGCGCTCCGCAGCCTCCCCCCAAGACGCAGCCCCGAAACGGGATGCTTCTCCGCAGCGCAGCAGTGCGCCGAGGAAAAGCCAACTCGGGGCGGTCTTCTTCCCCCGTGTTCTCGAACCAGCGGGACGTCGGAAGCCTCGTCCGGCTCTCGACCGAGCGCTGCCACGCGGGCCCTGATCAAAGTGCCCCTCTCAAATTGTGGGCGAGGGAAAAGGACGTCTCCCAAAAGCTCTCGTAACTCTGTCTCGTGAGTCCTCTTCGGCACTGACGAACGTCCGAGGCGAGGGCGCAGTTTTCCAAAGGGTCTCTCCATCCCGAGCGCTCGTGCAAAACGGCCCTTTCTTCAGAGTTAAATTCTCGTGACGGTGCCTTTGCCATAGGAAGAAAAACAGCAGTCAGGGTCCCCTGAAACATTCGAACAGCGTCCAGCCATCCGACCTCCTATCCCCCCGACACTGAGCCTCCGGACCGCAGAGAGTTAATCGTGAGCAGAGTCCGGCCTCATTGTCATACTCGATAGAAAGTCTGAGGAGAAGAACGATAACTCGCACCAAAGCAGCTTCCCCGGACACAGAGAAGTGCTGTACGCTAACGTACGTGCGACGGCTACGCTTGCGCATCTTTTGTGCCTCGGCGCTGAAAAGTGCCATTCGATATTCCCGAGAATCGCCCCGCCTAGTGAAATGGAGCTTTTCCACCTAGAAGACAAGTCCTGCGCATGACGTCATCAATAGTGGGTCCCCGACTCGCCCCAGGTGCATGACTTCTATTGAGTGAAGAGGGGAAGCCTCGCGTGTCTATGTTTGATAATGAAATCTTCCAAAGTGCCCAGGAAGCACTTGGGCTCTCTGGGTCACCCGACGTCCACTCTGCGCACCTCTGAGTGTTTTGATGGCAGGAAACAAAACAAACTGTCCACTCGGTGCCACAGCCTACGTGTGTTCAGCGCCAAACAGGAGCTGCAGGGCATCACTATAAGGCCTCCGCCGCTCTTTCGAGAGCTCTCGCCTTTTCGCCTTTCTGTTTTGAAGCGACTCGGATATCCTGTAAGTTAGGATTTGTTTCCCGAAAAACGGTAAACATGTTAGTTCTGCTAGCTGCGGTCGATCCCTCGCCAAGTACCGCAGAAAGCCCCACGCGAACTGTCTCGAAGTAAGCGATCATTCCTGTTCGTATTCCGAGCAACAGATACCACAAAGATCGAAATCGTGTTGTTGTTATTTATTTATTTATTTTTATTCGGCGGAGGCAGCGCTCTGCTCGGAATGAATGGAAAGGAAGCGGGCCGAACTCTCCCAGTGGAAGTCCGTCGGTGGAAAGTCGATAAGCATGTCGCGGAACAAGCGCGTAATTCGCTTGTGGCGAGCGTTGCCTCGCAGGACGAAAAAAGTCCCGACTATCGCATGCAGGACGTCGATTTTCCTCGAGCGGATTATCCAATACTTCCTGTCCGCATGCTGCTATTATTACCGGCGCTGGAACTTCCTAGAGAGTGGGCCAGGTGAACCAACACAGTGTCGCAACGGAGCCTTCTCCCCTCTCCCTCGAGTGGTCGCTTTCCTCGATGTCTCTCGCCTCTTTTGCTCCCACACCGCCGCGGCCGTCACAAAAGGGGCAGCCATCGGCCCCACGCACTCCCTCGACCCGTGGCGCCATCTGGTGGCGCCGCGAGGAAGCTCGGTAGCCGTGCTTTTCTTACGCGTTTGTCGCGGCATGAGAGGCGAGGCGTGCTTCGTGATCGTTCGCCTCTTTCGCTGCCGAGAGCTCGTGAGTGTCCTACCTGTGGTTTGTCTACTTGGGAAAGTGGAAAATGTAGTCCATTTTCCTCAATGTCTCACTGTCATCGTCTATTCGTGACGGCTGGTGGTCATTCCTACTTGTTGCTGATAAGAACGACAAATTGCTCAGCAACAAGACCACCCCAATCGCAGTGATCGACGTGAGACGCGATCGCAATACTTGGGACGTTGCATTTAATAAAAACAAAAGGATTGAAGAAAATATTACTAGCTTCGCTCTCTATCCCTGTTTTGTTTTTGCAAAGATAAGCTCCAAATGCTCGCAAGTACTTTTTTTTTTTTAAAGCTAAAATGGTTTAACTTTGTACCGAACTAAAGACGCGCTTTGGCGTTTATGTGCAACTGTCGATTGAGGTAGGTTTCTACTCGAGTATTTGACCGAAATGAATGCTTCAATCTAGCCAGGCGTTTTTTGACAAGTGACCGCGTTGGAGCTTGCGAATCTGATTCGTGAGATTTCTTTAAATTGGGTTCGATCCCCTTGGCTGCACACATGAATTTCCGAGTGATGTCATTGAGCAGTATATACGGTGCTCTCCTTGGAAGCACTAAAATCCCCACCTCCATCGGCCACGCGCTTGCGAGTGAAGCCCCTTTTCTCCCGGGCGCCCATAAGTCTTCTCTATCATTCCTTGGCGGAATACTGGAGCTAGGGTTCCTTCATGTGCGCTTTGCTTAGGGTGGAGACACCTGGCCATTTTGTCCCACACTTTTATTATTCTGTTTTGTTTAGAAGCGCGTGAAAGAGCGTGTCCCTGCACGCGTTTGTAGTATTGACTGCGCCATGGCGACATTTTGTTTTCGTCGATTTCTTTGTATTTTCCCCGTGAGCGCGTGCTGTCGGCATCGGGTACTTCAAAGGGTGGCATCACCCTAAACAGAAGGACATTTGAGGCACCCTAACTGGAGCTTTCGTCCTCGCTGCGGGTTCGGTCCGATCGAGTGCTCGGAGAGCGTGGCGCTCCTCTTATTGTGTTACCCGCCTACGTTGTGTCCCACTCGCTCCTCCGAGTGCCGCAAACTATACATTTGAGGAAACAATATATTGTAGAACGATTAGAGTATGCCTTTACAACGACACTTAGGAAGTTTGACGTGTTGGCACCCTGGCGGTGCAGGACTGCCAACGTGTACATTACAAAAATAACTGTTAGAGAATGTGCCTGTGCGTGTATGCGTGCGTGTGCTTGCGCCCTTCTTAAATAGTACGTAAAAGACTCGGAGACGTTTTATAGGTGACTGAAAGTAGGAATTGTAGGCGTAGTCGGCGAGTCTGGCTATTGATCCGCACTGTCTAGACACAGAGTCGAAATATCGCGGATGTTCAACGAACTTCTTTATAAAAAAAAAAAAAAAAAAGAAAAGCCGTCATGAAGAGCGTTTCCGCCGTAACAGACTCGTCGCTTGCTCGTCTCTGACGTGCGGGCATGCCGTCACAGTGCGCGAGTTCGCCATTTCAATGACAGAAAGGTACGCGAATCAGATTTATTTTATTTAAACTGCCTTTATTTTATTTAAACTAGACTAATTTGATTTATGTCACTGTTTCTACGAAATCGTAACCATGTATCGCTATATATATTTTAAACATAGGGTGTTTCCACATCCGATTGCACAATGATGGTCCGACTCATTTATTTATAAATGTATGTAAAAAATACGCGTGAAAGCCACGTTCTTGAGAGGAGCTATATTCGAACGCCGCAGCTAATTTTGTTTCCGGAGATTTAAAATTTCGAAGCTGGAGGCGTGGAGAGTGCCGAGGTTTCGACATGGTACTTTGCACAGTACGGTACTTTGCACGTCAATTTCACACCGAAGCGGACAAGTAGAAATATTTTTTCGGTTATTTTATGAAAGGTTGCAACGTTTACAAAAATTACAATTATAATTAAATATTTTTATATATAAAAAAGCCACGAAACACGTCAACTAAACACGTACGTTTTATATACAGATACACATTATTTACCGGCTACTTCGGATAAAATGGTGCAAATTATAACAGAATGAGCATGTTTAAATGCATTTTACGAATACATAAAAAATATGCTTCGCCATTACTGTAGTTGAGTTATTAATACAGGAACGCAACTAATTTCTCTAAATCTGAAAAAAAAAAAAAAAAGATTGCGTGTCAATGTATTAAGAACTCCACCTTTCACCTTTTATTTATTTTAATCTCTCCTTAACTATTTTCAATGACATGAACTAACTTGTGATGGCAAAACAATGAGTGACGTCATCTTCGAAAGAGAAAAAAGACGACAAACGTTCCCTCAAATTGAGCTAGCGTTTCTTCGTTATTGGGGCTTTGCCGCATGACGTCGGCTCCAAAGAGTTGTTGGATTCATGAACCAAGGGGGAACAAGCCAATCCTGCCATTCGCGTCGCCGCACTCAAAGCTCGTGAAAAGGGGGATAATCAATCTCTGCTTAGGTAACGCTCTAAAGAAGTCGTGCACTCACAAGATCAACGAAAGTTTTAAAACTCAGGTGTCAAGACTCAAGACCGCGGGGTATCCAGTCTCCCTTCTATCAGCCGTAGCAGAGAACACTCTCAAGACGTTAAAGAATAAAAATAGGGAGAGAACGGAAGTACAGAGAAAGAAAAAAGAAAAACCAGTGGGCATACCATACCTATAAAGTGTCCCATTACCTGAAAAGAGTGGGCTTGCACGGGGGGTTAACGTTGTTTCTTC